CCGAATTGAAAAACAAGGAAGACAGGGAAGAAGAGGGATGACTTTAGCTCTGGAAGAAGAAGTAATACATTATTGTCCTTGTCAGCGATAACAAAGCAAAGTGGTTTTTAAGACTAAACGAATTCGAAAATGGATCTTTCGTGTTCCTTTCCTGCAATCCGATTGTTCAACTGACCGTTCATCTCTCGTAGGTGAAAGTCTCACTTAGCCTCAACTTCCGTTCCTAGTTAAAAGTCCCAGCTTTCTCCATGATTTTCCTGAATACACACACCAACGTTCTTTCATATGTACTTCCTAACAGTCGACTTGGACCTAATTATTTGGGTGGGGTGATATGTATAATTGGTCATCTGCTTTCATTTCTTCTGCAGTTCTGCATAAAAGTTTCAAATTCACGTTTCCTTTATGGATGGTTGCATAATAATATATACTCTTTTCTTAAGTACTCTTTGGTGCACTAAGTCGTGCGTAGATATTATGTGCGTAAACGAAGGTTCCGCAAAACAAGGAGAGGCAATGATTTCTCGAATGGTTCATTTTTATTTGGATGACGAATCAGTATTATTACTGAAGAATGAGATAAAAAGAAATGGGATGAGATAACATGCTTTGTGATACGGAATGTGAATGCGAGTATTGCCGTAGTGGAGAAATGGTTTTCTACAGGACAATAATTTGAATACTGTTGGCAGCTAAGATGGAAAAAAACTCCAAACCAACCAAAGTGCACGACATTCAACGTTGACAGCATTGCTAAAATTGGGGCCTACGGCAACGGATCGGACATTTAAGGCCAATCCAGTTAGAAAGGCAGGGTTGGAACCGTACACTAGAGTAGGAGCCAAATCTGAGGATGTTCATCGTTCGTTCCGAACCTATTCACCAGTTATACGACCACCAGATATCGCTTGCCATATGTAGGGAAGCAGTTTTGGTATCAATTCGGTGTTCCTTCTTCTTAGTGGCAACCCTTCCTCAGAACAAGATAGAATGAAGCATAACTAGGACTTCTTATCTGACGTTTTATGGGAATAGAAACGTCTGAATCGTTGTCCTCCATTCATGCTATTTTTTCTCACAGCATCGTAGACTGATGTGATTTATGAATATTAGAATGAGAAAAAGTCAGCTTTTGCTGTTGTAATCTATTCCATCTCTCACTCTTGTGAATTTCGTGTCCGGTTTGTGAAGCTTTCAACTGTGTCGTCGAGAACTGTTCTTGCTCTTTGTGATTGCGCTAAAAGAAATTTGGCGTCTAATGATACGCACAATCCCTTCTTTTCTACTCCCGCACTTCTCCTGATAACCATCCCCTGTAAAGTAAATGAGACTTTCTCCTCACTTTCACTTGCCAAGGATTTTTGGCGATGGAAGAATGGGAATATATCTCGTACTACGCGATATTGCAAGAAACGGGGCTCATCCAAAAGAGAATATTGCAATCCTGGATTTTAAAGGTTGTGCCACAATCTTTAATCGCCAAGTAGGACAAGCATTGTATGTACTACGTATGCCTGCACGAGGTTTTTACAAAGGATTTCCTATGTATACCGTAGCTACATATTTATAATAGCTATGTGACCTTTTGACATCTTGAAGCTGGGTTTATCTTGTCGTTCTTCAAACTATGCTGACAACGAGTAAATGAGATGAATACATGGATAGTTTTTCTGGTAAATTACATCCCACACTTTTTGATAATGGGATTTTTTAACAAAAACAATCAACACACTTGCCTGCTGCCAACTTTCACCAGATGAATGGATTGACCTTAATAGTTGTAATGAATTAACCTTACAAGAATAAACCACGATACGATTAATTAATTAAACAATGGCGAATTCGCAGATCATTCCTGAAAGATAGACTGTAATAAATTATATGTAGCTATCAATTATGGTACATATCTACTTATCATGGTTGTTGATATGTTGAGTGGTTAAATGGAAAGGCAGGTTCTAGGGAGCATCGACAACCTGCCAGATCCAGGTCGTAGGAAAGGAAATAAGCAAATCCGACTCGGAGAAGCAAGAGATAGGGTGAATAAGACGAAAGGGGATTGTGTAAAACCTATGAAATTTGAAGTAAATAAATAAGGACTGCATCTCATGTCATATCAGCAAGACGAGACGAGATACGTTCAGTTCAAAAGCAGTCTGTTTGTTACTTGGATTCTCACTCTTTTGCTAGAAGGCTTCTTTCCATTTACTTTTCTGGTGAGTGAGCGTCGTCGTCGCCGTGTCGGTTATTGAGTTTTTCATAAAATTGCTGTGGTTGGAGTTTGAGATAGTTTGACAGTCAACAGTGGGGGAAGGAAATGAATTTCTGGCAAGGAGATGTAATATTTCCTCGGAGAGGTTTATGTGCCACGTTAACACCTTTTTCTCAATTCTTTCGGTATATCATGAGGCACGACTTTATTTGATATTTTGTGTTTACTCTCTCCCTCTTGACGCCTGAAAACTATCTGTTTCATCATAAATGATGGTAGGATAAATAGGAATTGTGCAGGTTTTGTTTGTTTTACTGTCCTAGTCCCACTTTGCTCCTCTGCAAATGTTGTACGACTTTGGTCTACTTTACCAAAGTTAAGCAGATATTGTATTTTTTTTTTACAGAAAAAGAACCCTTTGTATGCTCATTTTTTCTATTTCTCCAACAGAGACGAACATAAAAGGACGTTTGAGCTTTTAAGTGTTTTCTAGTTTAAATAAACGCATGTTTGAACTCGTAAAAAGTTGAGCTAAACTGAGGTGTGTAACAGTTGTAATGATGTTAGAGAGCGAGAGATAGAGAGAGAACGAATGATTGAAATGTGAGCAAATGTAACTTTTGTTGTTTTATGTATATCCGTTTACCTCGTTTCGTGGAAATTGCCATAATGATTGGATGAATGATAGACAAAACGAAATACATATCATCTATCCGACTCTGTAACTTCTTTGTGAGTCAAGTATCAATTCTGTAATAACGGGTCGTCGTCGTTGTTGCTGCAACGACAGCCGTCAGATCCAAGTTGTCACCATTCTGTGTACTGAATGTAACTGGATTACGGCTTTTGTTAATGTTCGTGATTTCCTATCCATTATTTTAACAACCATTATTCCTTTTGTGATCAACTCTGCTCCATTCCAGTGGAGGATTGACATATGTGAACAAATCTTGCGTGCATGAGATGCATGATATCTAAGCGTTTACGAGAATAATCAGAATATTCTCCTTATATCGAGACCTGTTCAAATTTAACAGGATTAAATTCCAGTCTGTCTAGAACCTTATGTTTTTAATTTGGGCTATAATTAACCTTGCTCAAAGTAATTATTATATTGCATATTATTAAGATTCGACAAAGCTTGGCTTCAGTCAATTACTCTCGGATGCTCTCATTTTTGTATCTCAATCAATAATAAATATATGTACGTAGTACAAATGAAAAACTTTATTTATATGAACATCTGCACGGGCTAGGCAAGTCTTTTATGCTTTACATGTGCTCGTTCAAACTTACTGAAGCAAAGAACAAGGACTACACATAGTACCGACTGAGTTTGAAATAATGGTCTGAATGAAATGAACTCAACAAAATGAGAATTCATTTGTAGTTTATTTAGTTTGCAGTGAAAGTGGACGCTTTGAATAATATTCGTTCATTGTGGTGCATAGCTTCCTTCGTGCACCAGGAAAATGAGATGGTGAAAGGAAGGAAGGAAAGTTTGAAAGTTGCAGACGTGTAACGTGAACATAACTGCGTATACGTATTTTCGTATGGACGACAGGATGAGTCCAATGTGCTGTTTGGAGAAAGCAACTCTAGTTGTCTATGTGGATGTGTTATGCTTTGCTTGGCTGTATTGCAAGACTGCGTTGCACATTCGTTTGAACATTATACCATCCAATTTTTTCTTTCATAGTTCAATAAATTTTAGAGAATTGAAACCCTTTATTAAGATATAATATCATAATAAATTCATACAAGGAAAGTTCCAAAGCTCTAAAAAACGGAAGAATCGTCATACAAATTATATAATAATATATACCCGGCTGAAGTGCACGAGGAAAATGACCTTACTGGTCCTGTGGTTGTGGAAATTGGCGATGGTGTCGACCAGTTATTATGACAATCATGGCAAAAGTATGAATGCAACCGTCCGGGTTCGAAGCCGTAATTTAGCCTTAAGCTTATTGGACCATTGGACTACATATGACGACATTGTATACATTGCTAAATATTACCTTTTACTAGCTGGCCTCCCACTCACTATAATTATTTATCCCATGGTGAATATTAAGAGGTTTGAAATATTTAACGGCTATTAATCTTGTTATAATTGTTGGCAATCCTTGTTGGCAATGCTGGCTTAAATGTATTGCATGCTGTCAAAGTCAGATTACACATAGATCTGCATCAATACAATGTATGCTGTGTATGAAAACCTCGCATGTCCCTTTGTTCTTATTCGTAAACTCGATTCACATTGATGGAAACTTACGGTGCCTTTGTAGAGCACTGGATCATTCGTCTACTCTCTATATATATACAATCAGGTTGCAATTGGAACTAGTCCCTAATACTCTCTACTAAAAAGCTGTATGTCTGGTGGATTTGTCTGTTACTTAAACTGTCAAATATAACGACAACAACGTGACCTACAGAAAATAGATGAGAAAGTTTCCCTTCAAAAGTGACAAACGACTTTGTAACAATATTACGGTTCATGATAGCTAAAGTCATCGCAGTTACAGATCATCGACCAATCATGTGTTGGATTTGAAGGAGATTCAAACTGTCACTTCTGCTTTCTTTTATTGGTGACAGCAACAGAAATGAACAACTGAAACGGGTTTGTTGTCGACAGTAGATATATCTGTAGACAGAAAATTCGTCTTACTTGAACCAATTCCTGATGGATAGATAAATAATGAACTTGTATAAACGGAACTCATTAATTTGGAAATGTGTTTACTGGATTAATTAGCTATCTTTCTTGTTTTGTTTGCAGATTTTTCCCGACTATTATCACCTTGTTCACAGAAAAGTTGCCAAAAGATCGCTGGACGCTCATGCACAAGTTCATGGGCGCCTTATAAGAGAACCTACGGTAAGGTTATTTTTAATTAAGATCTAAAAAATGGATAAACAAAAGTACAATAATGTCAGCGTTTGTCGTCAGCATTATGGAAATCCTTACGAGCATGAGAGCGTAGTTTACTATCGCTGTCCAATTTTTGTCATGTTAAATTAACAGAAAGTTATTTTATGAGAATTTTATTTATTTTAGGTACGGTGGGCTGAACAACAAAAAGTAAAGCGACGGTCGAAACGTGACTTTCTCCAGCTTTCCCTACCAACAGGATCAGGAGGACGTGGAGGAGGAGAACGTGGCAAATCTAGATCTGCCAGACGGTCAAAGACTTTCAACTTTAACGACCCGAGGTGGATTGGTCAATGGTATCTGGTAAGTGAGCGGTTTTTGCCGAATTTTTAAGCAACATGAATGTCTATGTAGCCATTTATAAGAGTCTCTTGGCTATCTCACATCATATCATATCAGAACAAGGCTATTGAGATGAATTCGCACAACTTGTTTCTTTGAGAATTTTAATGACTAAATCGAGTGACGATGAGTCCTAGAACTGCTATAAATGGAGCTATTCAAGAATATAACTGCCAACCATGAAACCGTGTTGGTGAAAGTTGTGGAAGTAAGTATAGCTCAGTTGCCACTCCACTATGTCGTCTTTATTATATCCACCAACTGATTTTATTGTAACCGGAGTCATTTCCTCACATTATTTCCCTCCGTGTATTGGACACTTGAGTACTTGTGGAATACACTTGAATACTAATGAAGTCAAAATGGAAATAGACGGGAATAGCGTCTCATTTGCTCGTGTTCATGTTTATTCATGAATGTGAGTTTGTTGGAATGAATGCCAGTTAGGATGTAGTTAGTTGTGTAGTCAAATCCTTTTTGAAATCTACAGAACTTACTGTCAACAGACAAGCAATGTAGCTAACAGAAGACGAGTTTGGGTTTTTGGCGAGACCTTACAGTCCGAGTCTACCTTTATTCAGCAGTTGGAGTTGCTTAAGCGTCTATTTAGTAGCACTGCAAGGAAGCGAGGACTTTCCCCATGGTCTTATCCCACCACCCTAAGCAATATGGCACACTTTACATTTAAAGTTTGTCCTAATTACAGACATGAGGACAAAACGGTGAATGTTCCTCCTTAATGAGTTGAACAGAACATAGTTTGTGGAGGCAAGAGTTCTCTGGTTTGCTGAGAGTGAAATGTTGCAAGAGAGATATCTCAATTCAATGTGCAACTAAGAATTGGTGGGACATCGTTTGGATAACAATGGAGTGGAGAGTTGGCAAAACTAGCTCTAGGGACTTTGTTGTTGAATATCATGAGAATGAAATAAACAAGGGTTTTGAGAATGCAATACAGGAAGTAAACATTACTTGGTGCATGTTTTGTATAATGAGACTTTCACCGACCGCCTTCTCCATTGCAATACCAGAGCGCATAGCGATGATGTTCCACCAACTACAAGTCCTTTGTTTCGTAACCATGCATAACCGTTATGCATAGAATAATATACAGCGAGGTTGTACTACTTAAGTGGACGAGGTATGTGTAACTGAACTCGCAGCAGAGTCAAGCACCCACCGACCGACACAATAATATCTGTCTCGCCTAACTCTTCTTTCAGGCTCATTCTCCAAACAAAGAAAAAGGAGTAAAATAACTTGGTCTTGCTGTGAGGATGGTGTATGTATGCGAGACAGACAAAGTTTTTTGTTCACCACTCGAGAAAAGACAAAAGGGGGAAAGTGAGTGTAGTGAAAGTTGAGTGTATATATATTCTTGACTCACTAAATGCTTGCTCCTACCACTCGGCTTTGTTTGGAGCAGTCGTTCGTAGTGAAATGAAGAGGCGTATCCACCGGTGACGGAAAAATATCACTCGATTTAACCAGCCTTCTCTCTTGGCGAAATGCAACAAGGTTGCTGTCCGGGAAGAAGTGAAAGTTATGTCTTTTTTTCCTTGTCCAACATTTTTACCTCATCTATTCATCCCTTCTTTACTTTGTCATCAAGCAAGACCTTCCCTAAATAAATGTGGAGAACAAAAAGGAGTGAAAAACGAAACAACAAGGACCTATCTCGTGCTGATGGTGATGATGGTGGAAGCCCTATTAGGTTAAGTAGGTTGGGGAAAGGCTGGGAAAGGTCTTTATGGAAGCCATTCATTTGGTGAACAGTGGCTTACAGATTCCTCAAGTAACCACATTTTCCTTTTTTGATAGCATCATCTCTGTATTGAGCGTGTTGCGATCTTCGATTTCACTAATTTCTCATGAACGTAGAATGTGGTACAATATATGTACAACCAGCAACGACTTGATGAAGGTTGGTTAAAAAATACGCAAGTTCTTCAAAAGCAATATATTTACCGTGTGGAAACTCTTCTGACCAAAATCGACTCGAGTGGTGGTGAACTCTTTATGCTGTGAACTCACCATTAGGCATGTGTTGTGTGGGGCATTGTCCCAACCGAAGCAATAAGTTAGTTGTTCTTTTCTTTCTTCAGTGAAGAAGCTAAAAGAAGATGGTTTCCTGAAGTTAAGTTGATGTTACACTTCCCTCCTCGAACAGAGGCTATGTTCCTTTTCCAACTTCCTTTCTGTGAACGGATTGTATTGCTGTGTGTATCTATGTATGTACATAAGTAGGAAGCTGAATAGGCTGAGTGGTTTTAGTTCAACTACTAACAACCGACGACGGACAGTGGGTTGCTGCTGCACATTGAGGAGAATCTCTTCAAATTTCTTGTCTGTGTTAGATATTTGCCTCCATGCTGTGGTACGTTCGGGAAAAGTTGCGTGGTTCAAACCATAAAATAAAGTCCATTTAATGCAGTAAATATCAAAGTTAAACTACCACTATTGTGATTGAATTCGAAGTTGGTAGTAGCGTATCGGGCAGATTTTATTGGAAATGGATTCTCTTAGTTAAAAGCTTGGTTTTTTTTTGTGGCAGATTTTCTTTATGGAGCTTGCTTTCTGGCCTAAATTGATTTTATGACAATAAAGTTTATGATATTGTACGAACCAGGCGTACATATCTATATTGTATGCAGTATCCCCTCCCCGGTGATGTTATCGAGTGATTCTTGCGGCTCTTTATAGGTGTTGTAGGCACCTAGTGCAATATATAACTTTCTCTATGCATCTTTCGTCAGTAATCTTTTTGTCTGCAAACATCATTTCTTTGTTTGGTGTGTTTTTGATCAAGCATGTAATTTCATGTAAAGGTCCAAAGTTACACAACTTATCAGAGTTTGAGACAAGTTGGCAAGAAAAATTGCGAGGAAAGTGACCGTCAAATCACGAATGTGTTCAACAAGACACGCAGCCGGTGCAGTGAAGTATGTATTACAATGGTGAAGGAACAAAAGTTTGCGATGTGATGAAGCATTCGCTCGCAGAAATGAAAAACAGGAGTTATTACAGAGAAAAGTCCGGACACCTCAAATATACCACCGACATCGACCAAAATCCAATCCTCCTACAAAAAGTATCATGGTAGAATCACACTTTTGGGTCATTTACTTCACCCCTTTAACCCAAAGAGAATCATACGGGCTCAACTTTTGACTTGATTTACTCGAGGATGTCTGCACATTCTTCCTTTAAAGTGCGTGGTGGTTGGTTGAGTCTGGTAAATTCTACGCCGTTCACAAGCATAAAATACTAAAATCGACTCTATCCAAACTGATTGGTTCACTCACTCACATTGATGGAGTAGTTTGAATAGTACTTTTGTAATAACAAAGTACTCGGAAAAGTTTGATAACCGTAGTAGAGCTGGAGAATAATTAAAATGGCCATTTGTGAGTTCGGACTAGAGGGGCATCAGAGCGTTGGACCCCCCTGCGTGGTCTGCTATTTCTTATGAATCCAAAATATTTTGTAAAGTTTTAAAGTTCATCCTTCCCTCTATTGTTGAAAGTTTTCTTTGAAACTAATTACTTTATTTGAAACCACGGCTGAATTATTTCGTGTTTTCTCTCTGGTATTTATCGCTTAGAATGTTTTGGTGCACGCAAATATAAAAAATAATCTACTGCTACTCTTGCTTCCGAGGGAGTGGTTTTGTCTTATAATTTGTGTCTACCGCAAAGTGTTGTGGTGGTTGTATTCCTGAGATTAACCCTTCTCCCGTACATGCCACACCATTTCTTTCACTCACTTTTCGAACAAATGCGAGTTGCAGCGGGAGAGCTCTAGTGTGTAGCAGTGTAGTGTATCATTTGATTTATTTGATATTTTGGAAGAAGTATGATATTCTATGTTTAATGGTACGGTAGGGTGGTCATAATTTATCGCTTTTTTGATTACGATGGTCAGAACAGTGAGGTTATTCTGCTGCTGGTTGATATTGCCTGCTCAGTGCCCTAGAAAAGTTTTTTGACGCTGAATAATGCCATATGTCAGTCTCCAACACTTCCACCACACTCGGAAATGGGAAGTGAAAGACAAAGTAAAAGTTCTCTCTTTTTACTTGGTCCCACAGCGGATTACTTGCAATGCATTCTACTATTTCTCCTCCTACTGCTCCACTCCACAACATCGCCAGAACTGCTCTTTCATTACAAACGATTTGAACTGGGTTTGGATTATCCAACGGCGATATTCCTTCACACCGCTCCTATACTCCCATACCTTCATATGTACATGGACACATATATGGCATAAGCATATGTACATAGCATTTGATTCTGTGAGTGAATTGCACCATATTGCAATATAGTTGCAATATATATAGCAATATATATAGCATTGCACCATAGTTCTGGTGGGTGACATTATACCCATTCACATTTTTTACAAACTGCCTTCCTCTTTGACAACACAATTGGGAATGACGGTTTTTCATATTGTTTGCTTATTGTGTGACACCAGGCCACGTTGTTTTTGTTTTACTTTGTTTTAGTATCGACCCCGTTCGTTTATACAGAAACATCAAACTGAGGATGAATGGGCTTAATTATGAAACACGCAATATACACTTTGAATAACACTTTGTAAAATTGCAAAATAAATTACTAAGTACTTTTAATCATATGCCATATTTAAACTGTATCTGCATAGATTCGATTCGAGGGTAAAGTATTTCAAATAATTTTAAATTCCTTTCTGATATTATCTGTATTGGAGATAATTTATACGGTGCTGTTTTTTCCGATATCTTTTTAGCCCGAATCATATTTCAATCCACCTGTCAGATATGAATCGAAATTGTTGCGAGAGAAAAAAAACGTTCGCTCACGTCTTTTGAATCGTTGAAACGAACAAATTGTTTAGATAGTCCACATGTCGAAAGGAAGTTCTTTTTTGAGGAATAAATGAATTGAGATGGAATACAAAATTGTTTGAATGGATTCTGATTGATACTGCTCATTCATATCTACTACAACTTCCTCTGCTCCCTGCTCAAATAAAATTACTTCCACGTGAGAGAATGGACAGAAGCCGTGATCATAATAATTTTAGAATTCGCCGACTAACATAACGGCGTCAAGGAATGATGGAAATCGGTGTATGTGAGTTACGTGGCCACCTGTATTCACAGATATTACTTCACACGCCAGTCATCACCAGTGGTGGTGATGACTTGTGAAATAGGATGATAGCAGATTCATTCGGGTGGATAGATTGGTGCTAATGTTAGTTTGGGCAATGAAGATGACTACTTTATAGTTTGTATGACTTTATGTGCAAGGTTAGTTTTTATTGCTGGGTCTTCCTTACGTGTTCGTTCCCCTTCCTGCCACCATCGTACCGACTGCCGCGACTTCTTCCTTTTCCGGTCCAAGTGGAGAAGTGATGAGTCTAGCAAGTGAAGTCCCGTCAGACCGTTGACACTGTTGTCATCTCACAAAGTTTGTCCTACTACTTTGGAGAGAATGTGAAATAGTTAAGAAAGTTGGACGATTCGTGATGTAAAAGCTTTGTCGGAAAGTCTATATACTTTGGAGTCGAACTATCGCCTCTTGCGTTAGCTATTTGTGCAGTAGCCCAATTTCATCGTTTTGATGTACACAAATGGCGTCCAAGTATCTTATATGTTATGAATTTATTTCTTTTTTCGCAGAATCGTGGAGCTGGATTGGACATGAACGTGATAGAAGCATGGAATGAAGGAATTACCGGAAAAGGGATTGTGGTCACAATTTTGGATGACGGATTAGAACATGATCACCCAGACATTAAAAGCAACTTTGTAAGTATTAACTTTGTTTCTCGAGCTTTATGAACCTTATTTTTTAGACACGTCTATTTGCAACATATAAATAGATATTTTGTGTGAAGTTCATTCTTGTGCTTTGTTTCCTCCATCCTATCGATTAGGTCAGTTGACCCTTCAAAACCTGTCCCACGCATAATAATGTCATAAATTACACTTCCTGCCCCACAACTGCTATCCCAGGTTCATTCTTGATAGAAATATATGTATATGTGTATATATGTATACATTGATTTTTAGGTCTTTGAATATCCCTGGTTTTATTTTTGGGTAGGTTTTCCAAAAGTTTTATTTGTTATCTGTATAAATTATAAATTCAAAGGCAGTCCCTTCCAATTAGTATACCTTGGGATTGTAAATTTTGGTTTGTCTGAAGAATATTTTCATGGGCCATGGCGCAATGTATAATTCCTAATGTAGGAAGGAAATACGACATCTGCATTTAAAAAATGATAGAGAATATCTCGATGTCGTGTCGATCGATGTCGATGCTCATTTGCATACAATGTTCATAAATTCCGACAAAATGGCACAATATATTTGCAAATGAAAATCACGTAATTCTATGTCACTCCTTTATAAATCAGATAACTAATTCCAATCTCTGGAGGAAAGGTTTTGAATCAAAGATAAAAAGACGCGTAATCCATTTGAAGCCGTTGACAAAGGCTATGTGTTTGGGTGTGAGTGTGTGTGTGTTTTATCACAACGGATGTTTCTGGTGGCAGAAAAGTTCAACGTTTGATTTCCATTGAAAATGATAGAATATGGGATAAAAGGAGCCAGGAGACAGGAACCTGGCAAATTGGGAAACCGACTTGACATTATTTGATCTTGGATTGATGCATCCGTAATCAGCATGCTGCCTTGCAGTATGAATAAGAAAAACACGTGGCTTAGCATGCCTGTGGTTTTAAAAGTAAGCTCGATTGTCATAAAGAGTAAAAAGACACGTTGTGTGCTTATTGTTCGAAAGGAGGAAAAATCTGCACATGTAGCTCGCTCTCTCTGGAGCCGAGTCTCAAGTTATTCGTCTATTTCTCTCCTTGCTTCTTTAAAGATGGAAATTGTAAATCCAACTCACATCTTTACAGTCACCCCAACAGGAGCATGCTTTAGTTGTGCGACTGCTGTGTGCTGTACATTGCATATCGTAGTCTCGTTAAGATCAACCTATTCTTCAAGGCACTTTTCTGCTGCTGCTGATCTTGAGCAAAGGAACGACGAACCGAAGATGACAGCCACGCCGCCAATCCTGCAGCAAGAAAGCCTCTGCCATGCCGTACTATGTAGTGGTGGTGAGTGAGTCTCTGCTTTTTTCGACTACAGACTACAGCAGAAGATGTGGGAGGCGAGAAAGTAGGGAGAGGACACGCGGAGAGCAAAGACCTATTATTTACTGGAGATGCTACAGCATGGGGAAAGTGGGAGACAGGAAGAAAGCGACACAGACCCGGATTGTGCCTTGACACAGAGAATGCATAAATCGTGGATGACTATTTTTCTCCCATCTTTGCCTTTATACGAATATTTTCTGAGGATGGTTTGCATGTATGTATGTACAACTTGCTTCGCATTCAGATGAGGGCTCAGAGTGCTCATCTCAAAGCTCAGAACAGAATGAGGTATGGAATAGAAATATTTTGGTCTTTGTCAGATATTGGCTGTATATTTTTGACTACGATAGACCATAAAGCCGACATAAGCTTTTGCTGTGAAGAATTCTTTGTACTATGTAAAATGCCGTGGGAATTATTGACCTTTCGGGATCTAATCCGTCTTTGCAAACTTCACATAAATCATCGAGAATATTTATAATAATACGGTGAATTATTTTCAAGAATTCATAAACATACAGAAGCACTGTACACATAGTTGTATGATTATAATGAGATTACTCACCAAACTCTCAAGATGTTTTGGTGAGTTTGGGCAACTCTACAAATCTTGTGGTTAGTACATAATATTTAGAAATACTTTATAGTGCACGTCGTTCCTTGTACACGTTTAGAATCTACAATCGGACACAAATCCTATAATTTATAGATAGCTTCTGTAAGTTTTGGCTGTTTGGTATGCACACTGGCTGAAAAATGCGTCACACTACGACTGCATGGATGTAAGGGGAATAATGATAACTGGAATTGGATCCGGTTTAAGCAAGTAATTCGAAGTAATAGAAATCCCACTCTGAGAAATGAGGTGGGGTTTGTAGGTAGTTAAGTAGTTAGTCTGTGAGTGGAATGCGGACGCAATGCAATAATAATGGTGGTTGTTGCTGCGGTTGTTGAAATGATATGCTTGGTCATGTCCGTCCAGCCTGAACGTTGGCAAACTTCAAATCTATACTGCACTCGAGGTGAGCCGTGTCCTTGCTAAGACTTTTCTTGCTTGACAAGGTTCGCTCCACGTCCACAGCTTTCTCCTCTCTCCTTCCAATCATACTTGTGTACTACCCGGTTTGTCATTTACGTCCCTCATCATCCACGAGGATTTTAGCAGCTTTCCTCGGATGTGTGATGCTTTGAATGTAAGATTCACAATTTCACCTCCGTTTTATTTGGTATTGTGCTCACTGTCATGAAGGTAACCATTCCCATTCCAAACCTTTCCCTTTGAATGCAACTATGTACCTTCCTAGCACTGAGGAAGAGTCCTGAGTCTACGGTGGTCTGGTCTGCATAAGAATACATGGGCGAAACAGACAAACAGACGGGATTTACTTGATAAATCCTGACCTGGAAATGGATTTGGGACTTTACTCGAGACTTTTTGGGACCAATTATACTGTAAGGAGGCTAATAAGCACAGACGAGTTCTAGTTGGGCAACATTGCTTCATACTTATCTATTTATGTAAGTACATACATAAAATCTTTCAATGTTTGGAACTACTTAATAATGGCGATATGTAAGCAACTGAAATAGTTTTCGTTGAGCATCATCCGAAGGAATGTTTCCATTTTGTTAGTGGTTCAAGCGAACTGAAATTGAGATTCCATGTCAGTAAAATGAGCTGGAAAGAAATGTAGGAAAACTGATTTAACATTTGAAATCTGTATTCATCATGCGTTCGAAGAAATTCTGTCTATTCTGTCTGTCCATTTGTTCCAGATTCCATTGGTCATGAGATAGGGTTTTCCAAATTTAGAAGACGTACATGCATTCATCCACCCAACTTTATTGTTATTCTGATACAGTATCAACATGGACACAGTGTATCATCGCATATTTTTTAAAGTACTTACCACGAATAGGAAATGGAATTTTGGGATAATTTTTATTGTGCAGTGATCCGGAACTGCAGGACTCGTCCATTTTGAAGACGGTCTATTGAATTTCTAGCTTCTGTGAACTTGTTATGAAGAAATAGAAGTGGTGGGGCGGGTGAGTCGGATATGAGAGAAAGTCGGCATGAGTATTTTTTCTTGAATCATCTCATTTGAATACTTCATCATCATCATCATCTTCTTCCTTTTCCCTCTGCTCGGCTCAATATTATCGAAACTTTATGAGAAAAAGATGAAAAGTGATTTTTCCCCAGTATTTGAAGATGATTGATGATACGACAGAACAAATTTTTACTTAGTCTTGTACTTGAACGGTGAAGTGGTGTCAAGAAAGGAAGGAGGGTGGAGCAGTTTGCTTGTTGTGACTGTGTACGAACGAAGCAAGGAAGAAACGAGGAGACGATGCTCTCTGAGGATTATCAACGAACTGTGAAGTGACGGAGGTTATAAAACTGAAAGAGTTTGCAGTCACTCACTACTTCTTGTATACAGTCCTACCACTGGAGATTTATGCCGCCATATTACTACATCGATCCTCCACGTTCCTCCAAGAAGTGGTAACCATTATTATTGTGCTGATCGTGTTACGCTATTGGTGTCTATCGAAAACGTGTCGGCAGTTTGGAAACTGCTGCCTCCTAATACTTTTGTACTGCTCCTCGGCCAGTGTTTTCCAATACCGCTTCGTTTCATTTGGCTCTTCAGACCGTAGTCTATAGTGTTGCCTGTGTCAGTGTCAAATCATGAACATGTTCACTGACGCCAAAAAAAAGTTTGGTTAGTTTAAGTTAACGTACGGAAGCAGAACGGAGTGACGGACGGATCCGCCGACTGAGGCTGAAAATTCTCAAAGTAAAAAAGAGACAGAAGAAAGCAATCTTAAGTTGGATAGAATGAAGGATAAAAAGTCCGGGTGAAAGCATACTGAGCGGCGGAAGACCAGCAGCGTTCTGGTTCATCAGTTTCTTATTTGGTGTTTCCGTAAGGACGCCGTAGGACCGGACACCAAAGCTTTCTCTGAAAAATGCCACTGTTTTCCCATATGAATGTTTAACCGCATGAAAAACACTGGTGACAGTCTGCACAGTGATTTGGTTCGTCTACTCAGTTTTCCTCCATCGTCCGACCCACTTTGTAAGCATTTCATGAGAAAGATGCAATCAATTAGTAATTAATTACATAGACAAATTGTTACGCACAGCACAGTAACCTCTGTGTATCAATTTTTATATTTATTGTATTTATATTACTTTTTATTCTATTTTGAAGGTTGGTTCGATAGTATAGTATCCAACATATCTGTAAATAACTCTACGGCGGTGTATGCCTAATTAGCTGCAGTATTCAAGCTGGTGATGGTTGTGTAACGCTGAGAAGCTATCAGACCGTCTGAATTACATGTTAATATTGTTTTATACAACATCTTTCAGTAATAGGTGCTTTCCTACAGGAATTTCATAACTGCCATTATTCTTTATGGAGAATAATTCAGCAGCAGTGTATTTATTGCGTCGTTTTGTATGCATCGTTAAGTATGCAGTTGGCGAGGTTATGCTATTATTCTAACATTTTATTAAATTTTATCTAGTAAATAATAGTTGAACCAGAGATTGCAGGGGATCATAATCCGACTCGATTTTTGGACAAATGATTTTTGAAAACCAAGAATTCAATGGTATTCATATAT